AACCCTTCCTTTCTTCAGTATTACCTGGGGTTGCCCAAAGTCTCCCTTCAAAGATGCCAGCCTGCTAGTAGACTTTCTCATGGACATATGCTCACATTACTGTTAGAATAGTGGACATGTGCTCCCAATAACTACTTGCCTCTTCCCTTTTGTTATTGAAAATAGTCTCATGTTCTGGTATGGTGGAGAGTTTGTGTGAGAGTCTGTAACAGACAATATATGTACTCCTTTGGTTGCGTGAATTATTTAAGCAACAGCCTTTATTTGCTTACTGAAAAACTGATTTCCAAATCGTTCATGTTGTACATCTTCAGTACACAGTGATGCTCTTCCATTTTAATACTGCTTCTTATCAATGAAGTTATTTCTGGATTGAAGGTAACACTGGTAGTAAGCCAATTTTAAGCTAAGACTTTCATCTAATAACATCGTTGCAGATGTATCAGCTGCACTTCTGGCAGCCTTTTCCCTATGGCATGTATAATCTGAGAACTTTCAGAATTTGTTCACTTCACTTCACTTCCCCCAGTGATAAAATAATAAAAAAAACCTATAGCTTCATTTTCTCATCTCCTTCCCACAGTCAACATCACACACAGCTGAAGTTTCTGTTTCCATATTTGCATGGTTGTTCTGTCTGATAATTCTGATTTCCCAGTAAATTGAAACCCTTCAATTATGCTTTGGTTTTGGTGCTGCCTTGCTTACCTATTAATCACACTCTTTTCCTTGCTAGAGGAATCTCACGAGACTTGGTGCTGCCACAATATTTCATGCTGGGTAATAACATGCAAGAACGTATCTTTCTAAAATGAATTCCAGCCAAAACCACACTATTTCTATTGATTTCTGTAAACATTAAATATCAGTAAAACTAAAATGTTTTAAGATCACAAACATATGTATTTTGCAAAAGACATTACTACAACAGCTAAGAATCCTGATATCTGAAACTACAAACTTGAGCTAAAATTATAAATGAAAAAGAAACCTCTCGCATCACCACTGCTATAGAATGTAAACACCTGCTACGCACTGATTACAAAAACCTTCCTAACAAGAGCCAAAGTTAGTTTCTTATATGGAGATACTGACTAATCTTACTTTGAAAACAAAGATGGGCAAGTCATAATGTGGGTTTTTTCAGAGTGTAATTACAGATAACCAATTAAATCTTCCTTGAAACAGACATCATAAAAGATCCTATATTGCTGGCATTGAAAGGCACTTTTATAATACAAAACCAGAAGCAGAAAATAGAGGTTGTACACGAAAATAGCATGAACTACCTTGGATATCAACAATCAATCAGCTTCATTTTGACTGACAGATACTAGTTCATGGCTTTTCCCAGTTATGCGTATAAATAACTTTCTGTATCTAAGAAGCAGCAAGAAGGGAAAATAAGGTCTCTAAGACAGAACTAATACACAAAACACTAAAATTTCACTGCTGGAGAAGCAGTATACAGCTTGAGTGTATACACCATTAATTGCCTTGTGTCAATCTCCAGAATAAAAGCACGCTGAAGGTTTGGTCCCATTGCATATTTACCTTTACAAGAAATAGCTCTAAAAACACAGGCCTAACATAGTAAAAGAAAAAAATACAGTCAGGATGCCTGATTATATACATAGCTCCTTCACAGACTACAAAATCTACTGAATTAGTCTCAAATGAAACAAAATGGGTCTTCATTCTCTACCAGTAAAAGCAAAGGATCTTTTCATATTAAATTTATAGTAAAGAGTTTCACTCTGATGCAAGAATATTTTTAGAATGGCAAAAGGTACACCAAGCATGCATTCCCATCTGAAGCAGGAATTTAGCACTTGTCTGTGATACCAGTTTAAAATTAACCAGTGGTTAGCGACTAAAACTCAGTTTCATAGCTGAGGCCATTATAAGTGACAGAACACTTTTCTAGTTAAGACTTACTTCTGAAAGTTAGCAAGTGACTGCTAGGTCCTGAAGGACACGATGAATGACAGAGCGCTCTATTATTACTACTTCTGTCTGCATTCTCTCTGGACATGCACCTACAAAAGTCCTTAATGCTTTCAAGAAATCTACCTACAGCTTCTTAACTATGGACTTCAGAGTCCACAGCTGCTCTACTATTTTTTTAAATTGCAGTCAGCTGTGATGCAATATTAAAGTAGCTAACTAAAAGTGCCTCTTTTTTTTCTAGATTGGGTGTCCCCTTACAGGTCAGCCTAAAATAATTGAGAAGTGAAGAGATTTAGCATTTTTTTAAAAAACAATTCCCTATTATTAAGTATATAAATATGCATATGTAGCCTGAATGTATGTATCTGGCTGCATAGATTTGGGCTGTGGTATATAAGCATGTATATTTTTCACAATTTCCTTTGTGGTTTTTTTTTTATCTTCATAATTTTCATTCCATATTTTCCATAAAATTACTACAAACTTTAGAGTTCATCACTCCATCATATTGCAATTATTGCAAGATAATAATATAATAAAGATCTTGCTTATGAAGACCTTACAAGTGAAGAGACATCTTCATAAAATAATTTTAACTTAGCGCCTCAGACTACTCTTTTTCTGCTATTAGAAATGAAGTGTTATTTGCAAACGTTTTACTGTTAAAATGAATTATCAGCAAATTCAGTTTTGAAATTGGAGATGATGATGACAGCTATTGCACATTTCCTTTTAAGATGTTACCAAAAGGATCATTTAAATAGAAGCTGTCCCATTTAGCTATTTTATTGAATATATTAATGAATATTTCAGTAATTTGAATGCACACAGAAAATAAGCAAACAAAAATATTGAAACAAAACAGGCCAGCTTGGCTTAATTAGGTGACCACTGGAAAATAAAATGGTAACAAGAAATATCTTCAGATAAATGCCCGTCACTGGTCTCATGAAATTTTTTTGGGAAATGAAATGAATGCCATCTCCAAACATGGTAAATCTGAAATGATCACTAAGGCAAGCATAAGCATGTACTGCTGACCAAATATGCTTTTACTAGGATATCTAGAACACTGGTTTGACATTTCATAATTTTACCTTAAAAGTAAAATCTAACAGTATTTGGTGATTTGTTTGAGTTTATTACAAATATTCCAAACTCAGCAATGACAGCAATAATCACTTACTTCTCAGATTTCCCATTCCAGGAGTCAGGCTCATTCTGGGAGGCAATGTGCTGTGATACGGTGGAGTAGTGCTGAATAAGATATCATTTGGCAAGGCCTGGTCTAGCATTGAACTTCGAGAGCTAGCATACGAAGATCCTCTTCGATTGCTACATATACTCTCATCAGATAGGGTACGATAAAGTGTCCTCCGTGGAGAAAGGTTTCCATAAAATGAAAACTGAACATCAAAATATGAAGATATAAGAACACATATTACTGGTTAAAATAATTCACATGATCATATCCCATCACCAGTTCTTGGGAGTATTTTTCTGGGCAGGCACTCTGGAATTCTTGAGCTAATACAGAAGATCAGAGATTTGTTCCACCATATCAGATCTATCAGGGCCTCAAAAGAGTTACTGAATTGGATTTTCATACTTGGTCTTGATATTTTGGAACATATCACCGTGAATTAATCAGATACTGTGTAGTTTTATTAATTCTGAAATGTTAAATGAAACCTCCATAGTCTTATGACAGCAAGGTTTTCCAGAAATACATGTAAGCTTACCAACTCTGGCAACATTTATTCAAGACTATACATAGAACTGTTTGATTTTAATTTGAAATGACTACACTTTGATATTAAACATTCTGAACTGATATATAGTGCAATATAATTCATTGGACGATAAAAGTGACTCAAGACACTCCATCTCTCCAGATACCATGAAATAGGCTTCGAAAAGAGGATAATAGAGTTTAGTGAAAACTGTTTATGAATTTCAAAAAGTAACTTAAACCACAACCCAAATATCTACAGTAAAACAAGATGTTACTGTTTTGTAAAACTGGGCCATTCCACAAGTTAATTCTTCAGCACTGCAAATCCAGTTATTTTTCACATCTACAAAGGTCAGTTATTGCCTTAATTATTTTAACTGGTTTATCCTGCATATAGCAATGTCCTATCCTGTTTTCTTTGTAATTAATTATGAATTGCACACCCCCTATGCAGAATGTATGCTTAAGAGCAGTAGCTTTTTAAAACAGTGAATATAGCATAGAATTAAAGATATCTACCTTGTTATATTTCTGACAAAATTTGCTCCCTGATGAATACTTCTAAAAGGAATACACAGAAACACTCAATCATGCCACAAGACACAGTCTTTACAAAATACTTAAATACACTTCATAGCACTAGTTCAGGAAAGCATCTTAGGCCGCACCTCGAATACTGTGTTCAGTTTTGGGCCCCTCACTCCAAGAAGGACATTGAGGTGCTGGAGCGTGTCCAGAGAAGGGCAACGAAGCTGGTGAAGGGCCTGGAGCACAAGTCTTATGAGGAGCCCCTGAGGGAACTGGGGCTGTTTAGCCTGGAGAAGAGGAGGCTGAGGGGAGACCTCATCGCGCTCTACAACTACCTGAAAGGAGGTTGTAGCGAGGTGGGGGTTGGTCTCTTCTGCCAAGTAACCAGCGATAAGACGAGAGGAAATGGCCTCAAGTTGCGCCAAGGGAGGTTTAGACTGGACATTAGGACAAATTTCTTTACTGAAAGAGTGGTCAGGGCTTGGAGCAGGCTGCCCAGGGAAGTGGTAGAGTCACCATCCCTGGAAGTATTTAAAAGACGTGTAGATGAGGCGCTTAGGGACATGGTTTAGTGGGCATGGTGGTGTTGGGTTGACGGTTGGACTCGATGATCTTAGAGGTCTTTTCCAACCTTAATGATTGTATGATTCTATCTTGATGACAATACAGAACATGCTCAATTGTTAGAATACTTAACTACATCCCAGGGAAAATTGAGGGAGATAATTCAAGATTCTAATCTGGGAAAGCATCAAAATACTACATCGGTTCTACAGATCTGTCTGAAACAGATATGGGCCGTGGCAATAAACATAATTCAAAACTTTATTTTAACACATACGTAAAACGATCACAACAATAGAAATAAGGAGCATCCCTAAATGAACCGATAGAGAACATACACAGCATCCTTAAATGAATGGATATACGGTATCCTTCCATAAGCAGTGGTTGAAGAATATCAAAAGACTCTGAGCCTAATTAGGGACCACATTGGGCAAAAGGTTGAAAACCTTCACCCTCTGAATTGAAGGGTCTCCGATCCTCTTTCCTGCACTCAAGATTTTCAGCAAGCATCCTGCTGCAATTCTTGGCTGTTACTCAAGTGTCCTCAACCTTATACTGCATCTTCTGTCTATAAAGGTTGTTCACTAGCTATCCAAACATGTTGAATGTTAATTGTTGAAGCTTTACAGAGTTTCCTTTCAGGGTGCGACAAAAATTAAACATTACCTAGAGGGCTCATTATTCCGTGATCTATGAAAAAGGTAAAACCAAACCAAACAAAAAATGTGATTTGATTCTGTAGTGTCTTACATATTCAGAAAATTCCTTTCTGGCTTCGCTGTCAAAGGCAACTGACTCACCTATACCAAGATTACTACCCTCTATGAAGGCATAATCAAAGACTGGATACGGCTGAGTCCTACGGCTGGGGGGCCATGCAAGTCAGGACCTCTCTCACTTAGTGAGCTTCTGTTTGGGTGTCTTGGGAGGGGAAGGGGACAACAGTAATTTGTCTCAAGATGGCCACACCTCCTCACTCCTTGTTGTTTCTTATTTAGGTAGCCAAAAAACATTGGCAACTCTTGAAATCATCACAGAAAATCAATTATTGTATCAACCATAAATCATAAAAACCTCTAGGACATTATTCATGAGAATTCAAACACATACAATGCATACTTAACATACTGCACGTTAAAAAATATATATGATCTGAATTTTAAATTCAACTATGCACTTAGATGATTTACTACACGTGTTACTTTTGTTCAGACATGATGATTATGCTATTTAGCACATTGTATAAACACAATGGGTTAAGAGAGCATTGAGTTAATATCGAAGTGTTACAATTATCTCAAGTAATTTAATTGCTTTGTGCTTTATTCCACTTTAAGCACAGAATTCAGAATCATGTATACTTTGGGGAGTAGTAAATTTTAAGTTCTCTATCCACTTTTTGTGAACTTTTTAATATTACCGATTGTCTTCATACTATAAAGATTAGATGTACGCTCTCCACTAGCACCGATAATTATGCCTTTTGAGCAGTTGCCACTGACACCTACATGAAATTGTGATTCAGACTTCAAATTGCTGGTACTCAGTATCACAGGGCAGGGGAAAGTGGGCTACTTCTATTCATGTGCCTTAATATCATATGAGGTGTATAAATTTAGGCATCCAACCTTGAAAATGTTACTTTTAATCTTTGAAATTATAATTAAGTTGCTCAAACTGCACCCGTCTCTGCTCAAGCTAAGCGAAAACATACTTAAACAAATACTGTATTTCATACATAATCATCAAAATAGATATCATTTTCCTATTGTGGGAAATGATATTTTGGGACTTATGGTTGGTATTTATAGCATCCCCATGGAATATACTTAGCTTGTACAAAATGATATTGCCTTCTCTATAGCAATTTTGGGAATACCAGAAATTCATTTCTAAGGTAACTGTGTCTGAGATACACAGAGCCAAAGAAAGTAGCTAACCTTTCTTCTCCCCTCCTCCATAGAGAGGCTGTCTGGCAGCATCAACTTCAGAAAATCTTCTTTGGACAAGACTTGCTGGCTTTCAACAATGGCATTCCTCACAGAAGTTTGGAGTGGACTTGATGCAGACACAGCATCAATATCATCATACACTCTGTTGAGACAATTGGTGTTTTTAGCAATAGAAGCAATAGTACTCCGGGATTTGAAAGACTGCTTTAATTTTCTGTCACAAAGTAAAAATTGTTAGAATTATCTTGACACAGCACACTCTTACTTACCACACTTTTCAATCATTTTATGTTTATGAAACTGTTTGTGGGTCCAAAATAAAATTCTTAAACCACTGAAAAACCAATTTTAGGAATTCTAAAGAACAATTTAAAAAAGCATAATGCTTGTTTCTCCTAGCTTGCCTCTCTCTTTTTTTATACACCACACTTCTCTATTGTTAAAGTTGTATTTATATCAATATTTCCAATAGTTAATCACAAAATAACTTTTGCTTCTTTAGCAAATAAGAAAATCAATATTTTATAGTGTGATATTGTAGCCAGCTTCACAATCTGGCAAAATTACTACGGTCATCAATGGCAATGTTTGAAGCGTATTTGTAATCAATTGTGCCATGTGCCAAGTGTATTTTATTTCATAAAGCTCTTTAGATAAATAAAACAGCTGTCTTCCTTAATTATCAGCATATAAAAATGTATTTACAGTCAACAAAAGACTGTCAAACTGAATTATTATCTTTCAGCTTCCTTTCAGTGAGAAAGGAAAGAGAGAATTTTAACAGGTTTACTCTGGAAATGCAATCGAAGGAACTAGAGATTCCCAACCACACAGAACATACATTTGAAGCCATTACTTACTGCCAAGTGCAGCATAATCAGGGACTCTGTCTTCAGCAGAGAGGAAACAAGCTTTGCTACGGTAAAGTCTAATTCTCAGTGAATTATATCCTATAGTGGCACAACATTCAGCAATTGACCTAATTTTCATCATCACTGCTAATTAGAGATGTTATTTTATTTCAAGATAATTATCCTCAGAGAGAGATTTCCTCTCTGTGATGTAGAGAAAGCTTTCCTAGAAAGAAAGAGGTGAAGCAATGCTGTACGCCATGGACAAATCAGAAAATATTTTCTGATATATGAAGTGCTGCCATATTCAATTAATATTTCTTAAATAGAACTAGCTCTTGAAGATACTTTTCTAAATTGCTGTGGTTTCAGTCTAAATGATATGATTCATTATGCAATTTTGTTTTAAGGTTTCCATTCAAAATAAAGAAAAATTGTTTCAGGAGTTCATCAACTTCAAAATGCAAAAACTTGTGGGAATCAATGAAGTTACCACTTTTTAAGTGCAAATACTGCTACGACTGAACAATTTAAGTAACTGAAATGTTGTGGGACAAAATAATGAAATCATCAGTACAATAACCAGGACAGGAAGGTAGTAGCATGTTCTACTTTTGAAAATCAGGAAATGAAGAGCTTAACTTCAGGTTCATATTTCATAGTACATATATTCTAGCTTATGTTTTAAAATATTAATCTTACCATAAATATGCAGATATACACGATACAAGATATTAGATGCAAATAACCCATTCCCATTAAACAAAGTGTAATCCCATATTAAACATTTGAAAATCAGGTACTGCATGTCATCTCGTCAACGTATCGAGATATATAGGGCTGACTATGATTAACTGAGAGATAGAACTAAATAGCTTATGCACAAAAAGAAAGCAAGGAGGTTACCCGAGAAGACGATTTTGAAGATAACGGGAATTTAAAAGTTAGTTTCAAACAGCGGATTCAAACATTACTTATTACTGCTGCAGCACTGCGAAAGTATTAATCTCTTATCTATGTTTGACATACTTGTTCTGGTTTCGGCTGGGATAGAGTTAAATTTCTTCCTAGTGCTGTGTTTTGGATTTAGTATGAGAAGAATGTTGATAACACACTGATGTTTTCAGTTGTTGCTAAGTACCCTGCTAGCCAAGGACATTCAACTTAAGAAAAAAAAAAAACCAAAACAAAACAAGCGTTGGGAGGGAGCACAGCCAGGACAGCTAGCCCAGCTGGCCAACGGGGTATTCCATACCATATGACGTCATGCTCAGTATATGAATGGTAGCTGTGTTCCAGGAAGTAGCGATCGCTACTTGGTTATCGGTCAGCGTGGGTGGTGAGCAATTGCATTGTGCATCACTCATTTTGTATATTTCATCATTATTATTTTCCATTTTCTGTTCTATTAAACTGTCTTTACCTCAGCCCACGAGTTTTTCTCACTCTTACCCTTCTGATTCTCTCCCCGTTCCACTGGGGGGGGAGTAAGCAAGTGGCTGCATGGCTGCCTGCCAGGTTAAACCACAACAATACTGCGTCTTTTCCTTTGAGTGCAAGCCTTTTTCTTTCACCTAAGAACGCATTTCTCATGAGCTATTCCTATGTTAAGCTGCACATATAGCCATTTGTTAGAACTGCTCTGAATATTTTTGTCTAAATGTCACTTGCTAAAAAAAAAAAGTAACTTCAGTGAAGTCTGCACATTTTGTAGACTTTCTTAAAGAGAGGGTCAGATATATCCACACTTAATCTTTGCCTTGTGGGATCCTAACCAGCAGCTCGTACCTGTTCATTAAAAACAAAGTCTGAAAAAAATACCAAAGAACCATTAAAATACCTCCAACTGGCACTAATTTTTCTTAATTATCTGCCATAGGTCACTGTTAAGTTTATGGTCATCTCTCATCTGTAATGTATTAGCTGGTGTAATAGGTAACAAGGTAGTAAGGTTTAATACAGAAATGTCAGGAAGTAAGCTTCTTCCAACTAACTAATGATCCTGGAGATTTCAAAAAAAGGTCTTTAAGACCTTAATAAAATTGTAGCTTCCCAATTGTTTCCTAGAGATTCAAAATGGAAATTCAGAATGTCTGACATATAGAGTACACTTTTGCGTACACACACTTTCACAATTTCTGTCAGCTTGCTTTATTTGACACATGGGAAAAAGATGCAGCTGGACAGAACAAAGGAGAAAATTGTATCCTGCAGTTACTGCCTTTTTTCCTTTTTTTGGATGCACTTCTGATACATAAAGATACAGAAAAAACCCCAAACATTTAAAAGCAAAACGGAATTTGTAATTTTTCATCTTTCTATCCTATTTTAGAATTTATTTTCATTACCCTTCTTCCCCCAAGAAAGTTAAACAGAGTTCTTACTCATGGCATTCAGAAACTTCAGATTCTTCAGGTGTAGGACTTCCTTCTGATTTTTTCCATCCAATGACATATTTACTCACTGCTCCTTGTCTGTGATACGGTTTTGAAACTGACCCAGAAATCTGTTGACTACTATTCTGTGACACTATATAGACTTTGGAGGTATCTAGGGAGCCACTCTTTTTAGAGCAATGTGTTGATGGGCTTCCTGAATGATGTGACCCACTGAAAAAGTAAAGAAAACACACAAAAGCAAAAATGAAATCTGCTATACAACAACAAATCAGAAATGCTTCGCCTGGTATGCAGCTATAATTCTTAATGTTAAGTTTTTCTGAAGGTTAAAATCAAGGTAGCAATATTGCTGCAGTCATTTTCTACTAGCAGCATATACATTAAAGCTCTTTGAGAACAGAATTGTGATGAGTTTCTAAAACAAGTAATGTTGTTTCTGAACTTGCTGAAATGCCAATGCAAACTGATACGAATTAAAATTAAAAGACTAAGTTCAAGACATATATATAGAATTTGTGTGTGCAATTTGAAGTAAATACATACACACACATTATTAACAGTATAATTCCATTTACATCAACAACTACATAGGGAATTCCCCAAATATCTCTCTTATTGTAAAACTTCTGTGCCTTTCCACTTCATGTTAGTTTTGCCAGTTCACGCCAGTTTAAAGTGTGTCTTTCATTCAGTACCGTTGAGAATTTAACATTAACAGAAGTAAATTTCAATTCAACAAAAACAGTCCTCTGGATAATTTTAATAGCCTCTTTTATTATGAATAATAGCAGTAGTAGGGACTAATGAAACCTTTTACTGAAGACTCTCAAAATGGTTTAAAATGAACTAAAGCAAACAGTTCCTTGAAGAATAAATTTCTTCTTTTCATCTTGCAGGTGAAGTAACCAAAGCATTCATAAACCAAGTGCCTTGCCTAAGATCAGAGGCTGGAACCTGAAGCAGCAGCTCCTAATTTTCATTGTTGGTTTATGAATACCAAACTCAGTGCTATCTTTTAATCTAATCCCAAAAGCATTGGATTAATTCACTGAGGACCAAAAGATGTTGCTGAAAGTGTAAGTCATGTCTACTTTGCTGTCCATGCAGAGTCAAATACAAGCAATGCACATGCATAGATGTCATTAGATCAAATTAAAATGCCTACTGTGGAAGAAAGTTGAATCACTAAGGCAATGGATTAATAAATTTGATCTCAGTTAGTATGTGCATTTAATCGTAAAAACAATTTATTTTCTCTCCTCTCCTCCCTCTTCCTCCCCAAAAAGTAGAAACAAGGTTATGAGGTTTTGGGGGAAGAAAATAATGCAGGTGATATTAAAAGCTTTTTTTGCTTGCTATCCTTGCAAATATGCAAAGAAATGATGTAAAGATGTGGTGAAGAAAATAATTCAGTTATGAAAAATTGAAATCTAAAGACAAAGCAAACACTGAAGCACAATGTAAAATACATATCAGATTGACAGCAAGGACATTATACAGAAGATTTTATATTTCTATTTGTAACTAAATTTAAGAAAAATTGGGCATCCAACCTCATTCTGTAGGTTTTAAATAAGGGAATATTTTCTGAAGTAAAGAAATAAAATGCCTATAAAAGCCTGCTTTTAGATAATGAGTTCAATGCAATGGTTGGAACAAGCAGTATATATTTTTAGGATCCAAAAGATGGTCTACGTAAGAAACAATGCAATACTAAAGGCAATGAAGCTAAGCTGTTTCAGCTACATAACATGAAGGTATTTGATAATTCATGTGCATAATTAATATAAAATAGGGGAGCTAAAACCATTAATAACAGAGCTGTGAGAAATAACATTATGCATAGCTCAAGTCAGTTTTGTAGTTTGAGATACTGTTTCACACAGCAGGTTTAATTCTGTAAATCTTACTCGGACATTATAGTATTAAGTTTTTTCAGGAGGTTCTTTATCTGATGATGTTAGAGAATCAGGCCAGTATCTTTCAACCAATCAACATCTTTCCTGTGCATTGCACTTTATCTATTCAGTAAACAGAATACAATTTTAATAAAGAAATGTTGCATTTATAGATCAATGACTTTCTACCACTTTCTTGAAGTCTTACACTGTTTAGCTACTGCAGAACAATTTTACTATTTAACATTCATAACATAGTTGTGAATGAATGCCTCAACAGTGTTAGAATTTTCATTGTGGCAGATTATGAAGAAATACAAACTCAGAGTCTGACCAGTTGGAAAATATATATAGGATTCAGCAGCAGATACCACAGGCTTATATGTTAACTCAACTTTCTTATGTCTATTTGAACAGTGTTGCAGCATCACAGTAATAAAATGAGATATTTTTTAACAATACATGCCTGTGGGTGCTGCATAGGTGATGCCAGCTTTTAAACCCAACTGCAAAATTATTTATCACTCCAACATAATTTGAAGGACATTTAGGCAAAGTTTAAATAAAACACTTGGGTAACATAACATAAGTCTGACATTTTTCTATAGCAAAAGGATTTGGCACACAAATTAGAAGGTGATCATTTGAAAACATTGCTATTGCCGAAGTGGAATGACTAACGTGAGTCGTCATCTCAACAATAATTACTACTTTGGAAATGCCTGGGTAAATCACTTAAAATCTATATGCTTTTTTTTTTAAAAAAAAAAATTTTTAATTAATCCATAAAATGTTTATTCCATAAAAGTGAGCAGCATATTACTTAATGGCTGCCTGGCACTTTAAATATGACAGCTGCCACACAAATGCTGAGAATACATATTCTAGCCATTAGAAATCTATTTCAGCTCATAATGATGAAGTCCTAGAAGTACAGAGCTTATTTATAGCACTTTAGAAGTCTCAATATATAAAATTAAATCTCAACACACACAAAGCGGAGTAAATCTGGAGCTTCTACATTATCACAGGGGTAGTGAAAGCTTAATGTGAAAGCATTTACCTAGTTTTCACAATAGTCTGTACAATAGTCTACACTATCTTCTATAACTTGTGAAAAAAAAGAAATCTAGAAGAGCAAGTATACAAGACTAATTCCCTCATGTCAAGTATATAAAGAAATGAGGATACAGAATATTATCTGGTTATTTTCCTGTACTTATTGACATTGAAAACAGAAAAATCAGAGGGAAAGAAGAACAAACAATTTATTTCCATCCTTTACAGAGTAAAAATCTTAACACATAGACCAAAGCTTCAACTTCAAAGTCACCATAAAATGGGAATTGGGAGATAAAGGCAACCAGCTGTAAAAGAGTACTTTCAAAGTTTGCTTTACAACAGATGTACCATGCACACATTCCATTGGTAACAAAAAGAAAATGAATCAGAAATTCAGTTCAACAAACAAAATTGTAAAGCACACATCACAATAATGTAAATTAGGGGGGATGGTATGCAATGTAGTTTCACTATATGTAAAAATTGCCCATCAACTGTATGTAAAAATTGTCCATTGCAATTTCTCTGACTTCCCTCAGCATTAACTCCCAGGTAATTTGTTGCATTGTACTAAAAAACGTATGTGAAATAAGTTCTAGGTGCAAACTTCACTTTTACTCAGGGATGTTTCCCAACTTTAAAAACCTGAGCAATGTGCACAAGGTCACATATAAAGTCTCCATCAGATCTGGGAGTAGGGCTAGCTATGCTTTTTAGGCAGACTCATCAAAAATTGCCTGAAAATTGCTCATATAGGCATTTAAATACAACAAAAAAAATCGAAATCAGTTAAGTGCACTTTCAAAGAAAGGTAAACAGAATAACAACAATCAAGAAGAGTTCTCTGTATGTTAATCTATAATCCATAATCCCTAATTTGTAAAAAAACACGTACCTGGAATGAGAGGAGATTTCACTTAGGTCTCCCATACTGCCTTCAGCTGTATGACTGGTAGAAATAGCAGAAGCATAGCTATGAACAGCATAGATTTTAGCTGGATCATCATCCGGCCCAGGAGTTTCAGAAGACTCGGTCCACTGCTCAGTACGACAATGTACTCCGGATCTGCTGCCAGCAAGGTGCAACGGGGCCAGAAGAGGAGCAGGCATGCAGGGAGCTGTATCAATTCCACTGTCAGTAGAAGCCCCCTTTATATATGTTAATCCAAGCAGCTCAGGATCCATCAGATCTCCAGAACCAAAGTGTTTTTCATCACTGTTGCTGGATGTATTACTGGATAGGGTGTTGCTGCTTGAGTGGCTTGAACAGCTTTTGTCTCCAATCTTAACAACAAGAAAACAAACAAAAAAAGACCCCTCTCAAGTTAAATAATAAAATATTTATTTTCATATAAAGTACTGAATTTGTGCCATTCAAAGACCATTTTATTATTTTTTACAGTATGCTAAAATATAACTGTAAAGTACAAGAAGAGCTAATTATACCACCAGTTTCTATGAAATGAATTGCACAACTGGATAGACACATTAAATGTTGATGTCAGTGCAAATAAAAAGGCTCTAGTTCCATCTTCTGTGGCAAATCTTAAGATCACACTTGAATTTTCTGATTATAGAACCTGCTTAACATCCATAAAATTGCATTTCTGAACAACTAAAATAAGCTAGAAGCATTGGTAATTATTTGTTTAAACAAGTTCTACTGCAAATCTGAAAAACACCGAAGACTGAATTATCCTTGGCTTTTTCTCAGTGTGGGTGAAATATGCAGCTTATTGGATCAAATCCAATTGGATGTGTGGCTAGTTAAATTGAAGCCAATTGGGATGTATGTGTACCAGATGAAAGTAACTTAAGTCACAGGGCCCTAAGCTAAGCATGGCTATTGAAGTGGAATAATTATGTCAGGCATTTGTGTCAATAAAGTTGGATTTGTTTGTTGGTGGGTTGTTTTTTTTTTTAAAAAGATTTTATAGAGAGTTGGATTAATTTATCTAAGTGACAGAGTAGCCAGCATAAGGGCAGATGGACTTCTATTAGGGCAGATGGACTTCTATTAGGTAGAATGTAAGTGGGAAGGGTGACTAACTTTTTTACGAGATCCCCTTCTAGCAGATGCATATAAACATAGCTCTTGCTCACACATTAAAGCAGTTAGACAAGGCAGCCTTTCCAGAAATGATACTTTTATTCCATATGGAACAGGCCTCAAAATTTGAGAAAATTATTTTGGGAAAAAAGGAGAGGTTACATTTGCATCCATTCTAACCTTTACAAGATGGCTGTCACCTCAAAAACAATGAAACAACTGATAAAAATACAATGAGCAGTTTTTCCAAGGAGAGGGACTTAGAGAAAGGTGTCTGGAGAAAAGACATGTAACTTCTTACTGTAAATGTAAAATGGAACCAAAGTGGAAAGAAACAAGGGGGGAGGGGAAGCTCAAAGGCATAAAATTAACCTCAGAAGATGTATTGCATTTCCCAAAAATTTCCTGTATGTTGCTGAACATATATACTTAGGCACCTTTCTGACCCTGCAAGCAGCAGAGAATCTGGACAACAGCTACTGATACAGGCATCTTGAACTGCTCAAAGTTCACTATGGCCATAGCTTAGGATCATTTTATGCATTTCCTTGTGCCAAGAGCAATTATTGTGTAAAAGCTCAGCACAGCCCTAATTGTTACATATTGTTAAAGATTGTGCCACGGAGCAAGGAATGGAATATGATATTTATTCCAGGAGAACAAAGAGAGCTTGAAGACAGCCAGTGAAATTTCCCCCACCCTCCTTCCCCCAAGTTAATACTGATAAAAAGACAGCATAGACCTTTTTTTCTAATGGTTAAATATTTTACAGAGTTCTTGTACATTTGCTGTAGCCCTCAGTGTGAATTTCACTGGCTGGCAGAGAGTCATATGGGAATATGATATTTATTCCAGGAGAACAAAGAGAGCTTGAAGACAGCCAGTGAAATTTCCCCCACCCTCCTTCCCCCAAGTTAATACTGATAAAAAGACAGCATAGACCTTTTTTTCTAATGGTTAAATATTTTACAGAGTTCTTGTACATTTGCTGTAGCCCTCAGTGTGAATTTCACTGGCTGGCAGAGAGTCATATGGCAAACTGAGCTGAACAAAAAGGGGATGCACAAGAGAACATTAAAAGGCCCTTTACAAGGTGATGACCGTTTTTTTCTGTTTTACAGCATCTAACAACAATATAGCCTCATTTTATTAGTATTATCTTTATAATAATGCTGGTTCTTACTTTGTACAATATAGTTCCTTTGCACCTGCACTACACATATGCATATGCAGCCAAACACAAACATAAGCCCATAATGCAATTTTCTGTTCAGATCCCCACCATCCTAAAAGCATGAGAGCTGCCATTAGCATAAAACTGTGATTGAAGTTAAGCAAACTCATCATTTAACCTTGGTATTGGTATTCTGTTTAATACTGATTGTTACATATGTTGATTCTAGCTTCCTGTCAACTTCGTCTTAAGGTGAAAGTAAGTATTTTTCTCTTCATGTGCATAATTCTACAGCATGATTCCGTTTATGATAGTACTTTTTTTGAGAAGTATCATGCTAGATTCTCATAAGGTATCAATGTACGTAAGATGAGAAACTGGCCTCATATTCTTAACAATATAAGGCTACAAATAGTGTACAGATTCCTACTACATATAGCAGGTTTTTCCACGTAACAAACACAAAAGAAAAATAGAAGATGACTGTGCATATCATTAGTGTATTTTCCATCACTAAGTCATTCAGGATTTTGCCATTACTGAAGACAAGCCACTAAACTAGGTAGACTAGAGATCTGTTCAGCATTCCCAACATACAAATCACATTTTTATAGTGCTTATTACTACATGAGTATTTCACACAACATTACAAGTGGTATGGTGAATATAATTTTTTTTTTTTTAAGGATATTAAATACTTCACAGATTAAGCAAGCCAGTATAAATGAAGCTGCAAATACACAGCTGAGTGTAGACTATGCTAGTTTTACCTCCTCAATGCCCCAGACCCAAGCTCTCTTGGAGTTCTTAGTTTATAAACACAGATTAAGCATACTCAATTCACCCCACATTTAGGTGATTATACTCTTTACCTCCCAAAACACACAGTGGTCTTCACAAACTACTAAAATGTGTTTTTAAGATGTATCTCTAAGTCCAGGATGGAGTTTTTTTCGTTTTGTTTTTGGTTTTGTGGGGTGGGGTTTTTTTTTTTTTAGAGTTTTGAATGACATCCAGGTAAAAGACTTACATGTGAAAGTTTGTTTGGCGACTCCTTGCCACTGCCTTCTTTCTGTAAAGCCCGGTCTTTGTAGGAGCTCAGGACTTTGGTCGATGGTGCATGCCACTTGGTTTCTGCCATAAATAATTGTGTTTTAATTTCTGAATTCTAAAAAGATAAGTATACTGTACAAAGAAAAAAGGCACATGGCTTAGCATCAGGTTTCATACCTGTACGGTCTTTGGAATCAGAGATGTGTATCTTTGCAGAATTTCCTAAGACCTAGTTTTTCAATGATAATTAAATGAAGGTCAACCTGCTTTTCATCATTCATGAGGCTTTCCGAAGTTCAGGAGTAGTTTGTTCCACGAATTATCTAAATATCCCACACCATATATTGTTAGACTGTCTGTAACAGTCCCCGCTTTCACTGTCATATTACATGTTCTTTGTGTATCAAACCTCCGCATCAGAAGGTGGCTGTACTTCAACAGGCACTGCATTGCAAAGAACATTTATTTTTAAGATACAGTGGTGTTTTTTATTACCAGAATGTCTAGTTCCTTCCAAAGTTTCCTCTCGTTCTCTGCCTCCTTCACACTCCAGTGAGCTTGAACCTTGGTGGTGTTCATGGAGCAAAGGGGACTGGCACCTTTTAATGTAAGCAGAAAATTAAGCTGTTTGTTTTTTTTTCCTAGAAAACCAGTTAGATGATGAACACCACCACATTTTACTCTTCAAAGCAAATATTTTGTAAGTGATTTGTTTAAACAATCATCACTCCCCGCCCCCCAAGCAAGCATAGCAACATTTCCAAACACTGCATGGAAAAATATTTACATGCAATTTTTTCAACAGCACACTGTTATATCTTAAGTGTGAACAGGCCAAGATGACACTGAACTTTAAGAAGAAATGCATTCTTGGGGCTACATATCCAAAGGTTTTTGCACTGGAGAACTATGGTAACGTATGTTTAACCGCTTTATGAACTAAGCTCCACAGAAAGTAACTCTGCAGTTTTGCAGATTTTCACGCTCAGAACATATAAGCTAGTACCAGATCCATTGTTTTGTATTGTATTGCAAAAGTTAAATTATTTCACAAACCAAAACTAAAACTAAGATTGCTATTAGAAATAGCTATGCTGGAAAAATGACACAAGATGCATTTTCATGTGTTTACTGTAAAAAAAATTGCTATAGTTTTATTTGAATTATTAGCATCTATTTAGCTGCCAGAGATTTCAGCGAGTATTCTGAAACCCCTTGAGGACTCTCCAAGATATTGCATATATATATATGCTACGTGGAATATCTTATCCACAAACAGTCATGCCAAAGCAGTATCAAGCTTACAGACAGAGAGTCAAGCTGATGTTTTCAATATTCACATTTTTTTCCTAAAAGTAGCTTCTGAAAGCCAAGTGGCAAGTCTGGAATGCTTTTATATTATGCTATGTAGATGCTGCCATAGCTCAACGTTTTATAACAGGAGTGTTTTCAGCAGCTATATTTATACAACAAAGTGATAAATTTGAAGTAATTTAGATGTCTCACATAATATTCTTATGACATGGAAAATATATTGAGGTGGTCTTTCATACACAGATAGCTAACTTCTGAAACTTCAGCACCAAGGGATTAACAGGGATATGAAAGAACCACCTATATACTGCAACAGCCTTTTAGGGAGAAGAGACTTCTGAAAGAGTGCTACTTTTTTGAGGAGAGATGCTAGGGAATGGATGCCACTGAACAAGCACAGTAGGAAATAAAACCTTTGAAGACCATAAAGATAATTTTTTAATCAAATACCCTTCCACTGAAACAAAAGGAGGAGAAATTATTATTTTACTAGTTGATTTCTGGCCTGTTTCTGGGAAAGCAAACCTAAGAACTGTTTGTTATTTACCTGAATTATAAAATAACAATTTGGTCCTAAAGAGTTAAAGCAGTATGGCTTTAAAATTGTATTGGCATACATGTTACATTAAAGATCAGTAAACCTGTATGTCTTAAAATATACTAACAGATCTTGCAAATAAATCTATGCAAATCATCCTCATAAATTTTGCTTCAGAAAGAAAATGCATGGGAGCTATAGCAAGATTAAAAAAAAAAAAAAAAAAATCACCAATACCCATCATATCCCACTTGCTGTCTCCACTGGCTGCTCCCGCTGGGTCCTGGGTCACTGGAGGAGGACTGGTTGCTCGGAGAACTTCTGCAATGTTGACTAGAGTCATTAACAGTGCACTGGGGTATTTGTGGGGTTTCAGATTTGAACTGGGCTGTGCTTCTTTTATAAAATACATTCATTTTTACAAATAATGCAGATGCAGTATGAACACTTAATTATATTCATTTGGAGAATTTACAGTTTTATCTTAGCTTCATAAAACTTAAACAGTTATTTTTAAAGTATACTATTTATTTCATCACTAATAAAATATTTCCAAGTGAATATATAAAAAAGGCACAAAAAGAGAAAGACTAAGTGCTAAATCCCATTTTCTTTACATCTATTTTCTTTACTTCTGAACAAGTGGGATTACTCAGGAGTCAGAGCAGCTGGATTAGGTCTCTAAATTTACGTGTGGGAAGCTCTCATGATGGATCAGAAATTATTGTTAGTCACTTTGCATGTATTCTAATTTTCAACATAGTAATTTAGAAGAGGTAATACCAATACTTTTTCGTTTTATTAATTCTTTGACATAGAAGAGCAATAAGAAAACATTTTCATGAATAGTATTATTTTGTACTTATTATTTAAACTTTTGAGCCTCATGTCTTAACAACATCTCTAATTACTCTTCTTGGATATCCAGACAGTTGAAATGCAATGTTCAGATTTGGTTTTGATCAAAATTACTCTACTATCCTTCACTTCTGTGCATATCAGTCCATAACTACAATACAATTTCCCTCCATGACACCACCTTGAATTCCCTGTATTTCTCTTCTTTTTTCATACCTTTTTTTTTTTTTTAAAAGGCTCTATGTAGAAATGAATGTATGTATTCAGGGAAGAGGTGAAAAGAGATAGTTTTGGATTTATGCACAACAATTTCTCAAGGACATGACATTCAACAAGCAACTTTACTGTTCAGCTTGAAAACTTTAAAGACATGAGCTACTATATTTTGTCTAATAGTCAAACACATACGCAATAAGTAGATAGAGTAGTGCCTAGTTTTTCAGCATGTCTTTCTCTGATAAGTATTGACAGGACTGAGCCTCTCTCAATCAAGTGAAATAGTCTATAGGCTACAGTTGAATTCAGTTGCATGTTCTTACTTGTTACCACCAAGAACTTTACATTTCTTGCACAGCTTAAGTGAACCAGCATTAAGGAATGGGTAAGTTATGATCCCATGTGTTTCCAGCCTCTGGACTGATGTGTAGGACACTGTTCTCAAAACCAGGACATTGGTTTGTACTATCCTAGGCTGAAGAATGTCTAGATCCCAAGCCTCCCATTTGCTGGGCAAGCGTATAGCCATTAGCCTACTAAACAGAAGGTGACTACAAAAGGAGAACCACAAAAATCTAGTCAGTGAATGCCTCACACAGTTCTTTACAGAAGAGTTGCAGCTGCCTGCTCTCAGGAATGGATTCCAGACTTCAGGTGAAAGGACACACTCGCCTACAAGTGTGACGCAAGGATTAAAGTACACAGAGACTTCTTGGTGCGAAAAAATAGAAGAGTGAGTCTGACTGAAGCTTCACTCTTAGGCACTTGCTATGAGCAGCTGTCATAGAATTAGGCATTTTGTAAAAACAGGAGTAGAGCTCAAGGATATCCTTGTATTTCTTAGTGACTAATTAGAGGAAACTCCTTGATCAACACAAAAACATTTGGATTGCTTTCTCAAAGCATTTAACTCTCCTCAGGAACTGTACTAGGAGCATAAATGTTCAGCTCCCAGATTTTCATTTCACTCCAGGGACTGGGCACCTAACTGTTACATATCACAGTAGTTGAACTGTTGCTGCTTCCTCTTTTTATCTCTAAACCCAACTATTTTATCACTGACTTCAGTGTTAGCTCATTTTCAGATCAGTTGCTATAACTTCCCTGTATTATCAACCGGCTACTCTCTGCCTGCACTCTTCAGTTTGTTTAAATTGATATTGAGTCTTTGACCCTCTAAAATCTCTTCATCATTCTTCTTCATTCAATATTCTTCATTTCATTCCCCATCCCTGGAAACATTCAAGGTCAGGTTGGATGGAGCTCTGAGCAACCTGATCTAGTTGAAGATGTCTCTGCCCACGGCAGGGGGGTTGGACAAGATGACCTTTAAAGGTCCCTTCCAACCCAAACTATTCTATGATTTTCCTAGCCTGAGTACACATTTTCACCCTTGCAAGACTACTTCTAAGTACTAATCAACCTCACTTCAAACTCTTTTGTTTTAAGCCCATCTCTCTGCCAAGCCATCAACTATGCCTCTTCCCATGTGGAAAGACCTTGCCAATCAGGTAACTCTCTTTTAACGTTTCAAGACCCACATGTCACAGTTCATCATCTTCATAAGTATAATCATCATCATCAAGCAACTTATATTTGTGAAGTTTTTTGGAAATGAGTAGTATGTCAGAAAGTTTCAATTTTTTCTCTGTATAGGCATACAGTATGCTTAATAAAGCTCCATAAATCCTGAAGTATTTCTAGACATTTGATCATTTTCTCCTTATGCTAGATGTTACCAAGAATTTCAGTACAAGAGGTTAGGAAAAGCTTAAGTCCCATAACAGTATATACATGCTTACAGAAATGCAACAGGAGAGGGGTAGGGGAGAAGGAGAAAACAAATGATCAAATGGTTTAACTGGGAGTCTGCCTTCCCCAGACCATAATATAGACAAATTTTCAAATATGTACTACTATTAGCTGTATAATTTTCAAAAAATGTAAAAAGTCACTAATTCTTTTCTACTAAATAAGATAGATAGCGTAGCAACAGCGGTATTTCATTATTTTATCCAGAATTTTTTAAAGCTATTTGAGAGCAGTATTTCAGATTTTCATATCAATTAGATATTTTCAACATGCAGTATTTTTTTCCTTGGAAATTAGAACTATATCACCCCATGGAAAAAGGGCATAAGCAGAAGTAACTGCAAACAATAAAGGACAGAGAGTTCTGCTCAAGACATACAGTTTTCCCAAATAATTCAAAGGTCAAATGTATTTACAATTTTTAACTTTAAAAATAATTTTTTATCTTATGAAGAATTATGATTAAGTTAGAACAGCACTAACATTTAAGGACACCATCTCATCATTTAAGAGGTATTACATATTCAAATCAATTGCTTTGTTTAATTAAAAACAAAGCAAAGCATAAGGACTGGTAATGAGTTACAGAACCCTTTGAAACTATGCCAATAGCTTGGTAATGAGATTAAATAATTCATTTTTAAAGGGATGAGTTTATTTTATTTACACTTATTATTTGTTTAAATAGGCTTCCAAAAGGTGAGGGACAGGACATTGTTTAAATCAAAAAGTCACAAGGCAGTTTCCCACTTTATTGATTTGGGACTAAAGGGAAAGGTCAGCTGTCCTCAGTGGTAGGATCCTCAGTACCGTCCACTTCCATCACAAACACCAAAAGCACTTGTTTCAAGTAGAGGGAACTGGGCTCAGTGAATGCTCTTCAAAACAACCTCAGAATTAAAATTACTGTCAAAACTTAATAAAATGAGCTTTAAAAAAAATAAGTATACCAAAGTTCTAGAAAGCAGAGATATCTAAAGTAAGGGACATTAGGAAAATGACAGGCCTTAAACGGAGAGTATATTACCTTGCACCATCTGGCAGTTTTCTATCAAAGGAAGTGCTGCGAGGAATGGCTGTCTGAGCCTGCTGGAGAAGCTGCTGGCACTGCAGTCTGTCAGATGTTCCTAGGATTGGAGAGGCACGAGAGAGAGGCTGCCCAGCGGGAGTCGGCACCCGATGCCAAGTGGTATTCCTTCTGAAAGGGGTTTTATACTCACATGGGGTGCCTTCACTGTCAAGTTTGTATTCCACCATGGGTATACGACAAAGTTCTGAACAACCCCTGCGGGACAAATAAAAATGCTGATCAGTCTCACTGGAGGGAACAGGAAAAGAAATCTTGCATTCTACAGTCAGAAGTATACACATATTTTTCTTCTGGGTGCCTAAATGTGTTCATATAGCATTGTACAGCCCTTCAAATGCTTCAAAAGTATCATGCCAACCAGGCAGGAAACATTTCAAAATAAAGGATTTGCTCTCATGTGCTCAAAGGTTTTTGAACTCTCTCCTTGCCTTTCAAAAAGGAGAAAATATTAAGCTTTTATAAATTAATCTGTAGCTTGAATTTTACATAATGAAAACCAGCAGAAGCAAAGCATTCAGAAGTCAGCAAACATCAAGTTCTTCTATAACAGCTTTAGTTTGCTTAAATTTCATAAATACAAATAACTTCTTAATGTAAAAATGTACATATCCAAAATTATAAAACATGTTTCCTGCTTTGCAGCAAACTAAACGTTTCTGAGTGGTATTGAGAACTTTCCTTTAGAATCCTGCCTTGTCCCCACCGAATTGCAGTATACGCTGCGATGCAAATGATTAAGTGGCATCTAAATATTTTTCTATTTGTTTTCAAAGTGTACTTTCTATTGCCTCTCTTCCTGGGGGTCTCTATGCCTGGAAGAGAAATGGGGAGGCAGGAGGAAGAGACAAATCAGAAACAGTCTGGCTTACAGCCTGTGCTTGAAGCTTACAGTGTGGTTAAATACTAACAGAAAGTGTAAACTCAGGTAAAAGTAGTGACAGAGTTCCCCAAAAGATCAGTCGCCAGTGGAGTATTTGCTGTAGACTCAGGCTGGACTTGAGTTAAGGGTTACTGTTTCAGAAATTAGTTATCAGAAGCTTCACACCCACTTTAAGCCAGCACTGATTATCATCACAGATATTTTATATTCTCTCCATTATTCATCCGACAGGCAGCGCGTACTAAATTAATGTCTATAAAGAAAATACCCTATATAATTCTAATCCAACGCATAAAGTTGAAGTAAGAAATAGTGAAAATTTGCTTGTCTGCCTCAGCTACAATTCTGCTCTATCCCTTGAGCTGAGTCTTGATCAAGATTTGCTTTTGTTGAAAACTCCACATTCACCATTTCCAACTAAGTTAAAATCACCTAGAGAGTGTGTAAAGTGTTTACAGTCTTAATCTGGAAAATGTTTTGGCACAAATTACTTCAAATTCAAAATAAATTGTACAGATTCTCATACATTAAATTACTGTGCCCCAAAGTTTCTAAACCAAATATCAAAGGAACATTTTCATTGTCAGTGTTCTGGTAAGCAGATAAAAAAAAAATTATAAAAATGCTATCTATGTTACTCAAGGTTGTTGAAGAGAAGATGCGTGTGCAACTGTAGCAGTTACATAGTAGATACTCTGTATATGCCCAGTCTGATCCAGCCAATTGCTCCAGGCTGCTGAATTTTGTGCTACTAAACAGGCGAACTCTTTATCCTGTAGCATTAAATCTCAGTACCTGCTGGCACTCAAACATATGAAAAAGGTAAATAAAGAACTATAAAATATAGAGGATAAAGCATTGAGAGTAGAGATTAGTAGCCAATGTAGGGTAGAAGACAGTGATGAAGATGAGCTGAAGAGGGGTCACTAGAACACTCCAAAACAGGAGTGTTTTTTCAAGGTTATTCTGTGATCAGAAATATCAGTATTAAACTCACCAGTAAAATTTTACGTGAGTAAACTCTGCTGACAAAGCACAGTTGGACATGCTGGAATTTCTTATATTTGTTTATTTTTTTTTTTAAATCTAAAGGATCGTGCTAAAACTATAGATCAAAAGAACACTAATGTTGCAAGCTTAAGAACTCAGAAGGCAAGAAATTTCAAAGTTATTTTTGTTGCACATGTAACTTTAACCTATCCTCTTTCTGTCAGTGGAATAAAATCATATACTTTCTCTTTTGCTTTTAGCAAAGAACTCTTTACCTCATTCCATGCATATAAAAGACTGATACTACTTGAAAAGATACTACTCAATATATAACTATTATTATGTTTTAATATGTGTCAGATAATCAGTTGCGTTTTCCTGCACTGATTTGTGATAAGAAATTATTTGATGGCTGCATACTTTCACTGGGTATAAAACTCATTTCTTTCCAACTCCTCTTAACTCACAGCATAAGAGAATTTCACAGGAATGATTTTCTGGTTGTAGCTTCCCTATGGAGGTAAGACGACTATAATAGTCTCCTCCCACAGACAAGGAGTGGAACTACAGAGAAACCAATGTTATAAAATTATCAATTAATTTCAGAAGGTCAATTTGATATATCTATAGCCTTCCCCCTGCTCTAAAAATGCCACATTTATTCAGACCACCACTTCAAACTACTTCAGTTCATTTATCTATTTTTTAAAATTGTTTCACACTTCTGAAAACCACAAAACCTGTGTTGGACTCTTAGAATGATGAACACCGTGGAAAGGCCAAGTTAAGTGAATTGCATAGAATCACACAAACATTTCTACCGCAGAAGCATACATAGAATACATTTCTCCAGTGCAATATTCAACTGCTTATATCCCCAAACCATCCTTCTCTTCATAAAGATCCCTGCTTCATTCACTGCCTGCAAGGAATGACACCAAGGTGTAAGAGACAATAGCCTCTAGCAACGTAAACTTGATTCATTTCCAGAGCAGGTCCATGTTATGTGAACGTAGAAAGTCCTTAAACAAAAAAATTGCCTAAGATTGATTATTCAATTAAAGACTGTCATAAAGCTTTATATACAAAACAAACAGAACAAAGAAAGCCCAGATGACATAGCAAGGATAATATTAGTTTAGCGCACTGCATAATTTTTCATGTAGCCATATATGCACAGTTTGTCATTATTTGACTAGGAAGTTGAACAATTATATAGGCTACCATTTCAATCATCCTTCTGCTGATTTCTTAGTATCATTTCACTCCTTTCTTCATTCCTATAGACCTTAAGTGTCAGAGACAAACCCAACTTTAATTATTAGAATATTGATTTCTCAGTTTGTCTTGGTAATTGAGAAAGTTATAGCATGTAATTGTCATTGTATCCCTTATTACATACTCTGCATAAAGTACTTTAAGTGCTGTAAAGATAGCCATGGGTTTTGAAGGCAAAAAGGATTGTTACTACTATTTAGTTTGACTCAGCTTGCTAACTGAATAACTAGAGCATGATATAAAAAATAGCAAACAACAAGCTTTCCCGCAAAGAATAACAATTTAAAATTCTGTAAAATTTTGTGTTTGTTTACATCACTAAAATATATTTCTCTGATAAATGAAAAAATTATTCAGGGCACTATTCCTGCAAAAAAAGGCTTACAAAACAACCCTATTTCAAATCCCTATAAAAATCTAACAATATTACTTTTAAATTCAAAACGGAGCCCCAACATGACTGTTTTAACTGGCCCAAAAATAACGTCCATGGTTAAAACAGAACTACTTTATATGGCTTCCTTTGTCACATAGACTTTTTAATTTTAACTTAAAAGTGCCAAACCAATCAGTTCAACATTTATATGAAAAATTATGCTTCTTTGCTTCACAAGTACTGCCTAAAGATACTGCAATATACAGAGATATGTAAAGTCATAATTGTAGCTACCTCCAATATCAGAAACAAAAAGAATCAATTAATTCATGCCTGCAATCCAACAGGGGTCCCCACCCCCCGCCATGGATCAAACTGCAAGTTATCTTGCACGAAACCCCCCCCAAATTAAATGCAATTTCCTTTTAAATATTTAATTGGACCATTAGCTAACTTCTATTTACAATATTGTCACTTGTTCCACCGGGTAGAGAATATACATTGACGCTGGTATTCCATGATAGCTTTTAATTCACTTTTTAATTTTTCAATTTTTTTTAAATTAACTTTAAAAATATGTAAAGACAAATCTATATTTTATGGTCTTAAAAAGATATTTAAATTTACGTTAAACAAGTATAGGATATCAAACATCTTTCCCAAATATATTCAACACAACATTTTGAAAAACAGACTCGTTATTTTTCAAGCAAGTGTGACCAAGTTTTAACCACACATCAGAAATGATAGCACTTCCTGTCCTTCACTATAGTTTGGTATTAATTAAATCAATCCTTCAATACAAAGCACAGACTTCTATTAATATTTTTGGTTCAAGAGCATATTATCTTACAAAAAATTTGGTTAATAAAACCTACTCTGCAATTACACAGAGCATGACTCTATGATACAGCTAGCAGGTCATGACTGCATATTAAAGTTTAAGAGCCCACTATAAAAACCTGCAATATTCAAATGTTACTGTAAGGAGCATTATGTTCTGAAACAATTATCAAGCAGTCCATTAAATTTTTCAAACTATGTTAACCAAACCTTTCAGTATTAATTTAAGATACCATATAAAGGTTCTATAAAAGACTCTGTGCAGGGCCTACATTAGGCAAGGATGTTAGTTAAAAAAGGTAGATGTTAATCTCCACAGAAAAGTTAGAAGCTTTCATATACTACGATCAACAGTTTGCCACCTTGATAACTACACTTTTTTTCATTTATAACCTACCACTACCAAACTACTTGGTATGACCTCACTATTTGGACCCCAACTACCTATAGATTTCATGCATCATGAATGATTTGTTAGAGTAATAACAAAACTAGAATAACTGGTTACAACTTAACTTCAGTTCAATGTATCACAGATATGAACCACTAAGGGGGATGTAGGGATAGAGGAGTAATCACTGGTGTTCACCGGTTGTATTACACCGATAAATTATCCCTTACTATCACCATTTCAATTAAAAACATTTGATTTTGCTCAATAAGGAATCTTTATCTATATCTAGCGGTATAATAAGTAATTGCATTCTTCTAACTCCAACTTTGCATTTGAAAGTGATCACTTCTATTACAGCGCATGTTTGTTCCTACATTACAGTGGTTCCCATAAGGTGTCACAATCAGACTGAGGACCCATCATGCAATCTATTA